AACTGAGAAAATGTACGAAGCCGTCTCTGTGTTGGGAGAAAGATTATTTGAACTGGGCATCAAGCAATATTCTATTCAACATCACCCTCCTGATGCGAAGCCAACCGTAAACGTGATTATAGCGTACAACAGAATTATTATCAAAGATATTTGAATTTGCTCTAAGAACCTAATCCTCCTAGGCTGTTTAAAGTGATAGTCAAATTTTCCCATAATGAAATTAGTAAACTTCAGGTTGCCACTAAGTTTCATTTAGCCTTGCCTCCCTAAAAGGTTTATTCTTCAGGTATTGAAACCGGGTTATGTTCACACACTGGTGAGGTTGTATCAGTCCGCCATACAGCCAATGGGTTTCAGGTTAGATGCAATTCCTGTATTAGGTGTTGTTGAGACGATGAGACTAGATGGAATCTACAGTCCAGCCTGAATGATAAAATCTTTTAGGAAGCAAGACTAAGCGAAATTCAATAGAGTAATGAGGCATAGACATTTATTAGAGAAAAAATGAAACTATCAGTCCCTACATCAACTTAAGCAAACTATAAAGAATAACTTATTATTCAAAAGCTACTGATTTTAAGCTAGAATATTTGATGATGTTCAATCAAATATGCAGAAGCAAAGTTCATATTTTGATACTTTAACGAGGGAGCTGTTGAGTAGCTAATGAATGATTGAATTTGAAACAGTCGTTTGAGTTTGTTTAGTATCAAATGCACACAATAAACCAGTAAGTGGCTCTGCGGGCGACCCTCCCGTCTTGCACAACGCGAAGCCGAATGAGCCAGATCCAGTCAACAGGGCTTCCGCTTCTTTGTATCTTCAACTCGTGGAATTGTCCGAAACAGGATTGTTCGTCTGGTCTACCGCGAAGGCAGAACTTGACTGGCAAAATTGGGCCGTCTCTTCCGTCCTTCGTGGACTCACAAACTGGCGAATAGCTACATCAAGACGCGACAAAATACACATCTTATCTCAGAAAGGGAATCCTCACCTTTTCTATGCTGCTGGCCCAGGAGACCTGATCTGAGACCGGTTGGTACATAGTTGTGCGATCGTGATGAGGATACAGTTTGCATGTACAGAAGTGATAGACGCACATAATGGGAGGACAGTAGCTAGGCTGCTGGGATAGTGTGTTGCGCAGTCTATCCACTGTGGTAGAGGTCCCACGATCAAATGATGCACCGAGGCGGAACGCGAAGACGTGGCGTTGATGCGAAGTGAGCGTCACAGTTTATCAGGTCACCTGAACGTGAAGGTCCAACCAACTTTCTCATGATACAATTGTAGAACAAGTGGAGTGGTGTACGGAAGAGTGCACTGACCTTCGTCCCTCAGTCTGGAC